CCACAGCGCCCCTAGAGGACAGAGTGGAACTGCCCCACAGGGTCTCCAAGGCTGTCAATCTTTACAGAAGCAAAGCCCAAACCACACCCACTGCCGTGGAGTCCATTCTGACTCACAGTGCCCCTAGAGGACAGAGTGGAACTGCCCCACAGGGTTTTCTAGGCTGTCATCTTTACGGAGGACGACTGCCTCATCTTTCTCCCATGGAGTGTCTGGTAGGTTAAACAGGCGACCTTTTGGTTGGTGCGTGAATGCTTTAACCAGAGCCTATTTTTATTTTATGTAATGTTAATTTCAAATTTCATATAAATGTGAAAGGTCATCAAAGCTTATAGCTGACTCATAACATGGTACATTAGAAAGACCAAAGCCAAAGACTGAAGCATGAACCCAACACAGAGCAGTAAAAGTGATCCAAGGCTTGCCTCCAGCTGCTTCTGTATGATGCAGGGATTTTCACTGTCTTTTAAAAACTGCAATCCACACGTGTATTCATGAGGGATTACATGAGAGCAAAGGAGCAGGGGTAATGAAAATTAATGCCATTACTCTTTGCATAAAACTTGGCAATAATCACGTGTGAATGCTAACGTTAATGAGACTGCAAAAGAGGCAGCGAATATTAAAATAACTTTTCTTAAAAAAGCCAGCTGATGAGCAATTATACAGCAATTAGAATAATAAAGACTTTATAACAATGGACACGTCTCTAAGTTAAATGGAAAAAAACACAGACATGATTCTGGTGATTCAAAAACTAATCCTATCTGGACAGAGAACAGAAAGGAAGCAAGAAATAAAAAATGTTTTTGTCAAGATGACAGCATCTGAGATAAAAGCTTAAAAATCCCTTAACGGATTGACTACAGTGAAGGGAAAGGCAATATACCAAAAGCAAGTGACCAGACAGAACCACTAAGGAGAAGAAGACACAGAGAGGTACACAAGCAGTACAGACAATAAAGACCAACCTTTCACATGTACACTGTCGCGTTATCAGTGATGACAAACATTAGTCTATGGGTAAACAGATGAATAGACAAACTGAATGATCAGGTATGTCTAGGCAAAAGGGAACACACCTATGGCCATATATAAGCTTGGCAGACGCTATTTCTACATATGTGCTATAAGAACGTCCATATACATAACAGAATTAACAAGGGGCGAGTTATGATAACTTCTCAGCCACAGCCAGGACCTGTGGGCTTG